CTGCTTTGATAAGACTTAAACTGGAGCTGACGTGTTGTTTCCAGCTGTTTATTAAATGCCTGCACTTTCATAGCGTATGAATCCAAAAGTGAGAGAGTCACGCACATTTATGCATGTGGCACAGATTATCAATCAGTTACTGATTGGTGATTAAAGGGAGTTTAGCCTTCTCTGTGTCAGGAGAGACTTTAAAGCGCCCTGAGGTGACTGCTGCTGTAATTTGGTCCTATATGGATAAAACGAATGAATTGAGTCATGTTGAATTATTCATTACGCTGAGGGAGGCCTCTTCACTAAAGTCAAAGGTGTTTTTTGTTGTTTTAAAACTCAGAGTCAGTGTTTCCAGTCGAATCTGACAGCATGGCAAGCGCTAATGAGCTACAGGCAAAAAGCATGAAACAATCCGGAGGTCACACACAAGAAAACGACTATGAATGGAAGGAAGAATGAACAGACGCAAGCAGCACTGCAAAGACGATGAAATGATTTGGGTTGGGAGGGAAACATAGGTTCATATACTGAGGAGGGCAATTGGCTAATTGAACACAGGTGTGGCCCAAGAAGAACAAAGGCATAGTTTAAGACAAATATAGATTTCAAAATAAAGTAGAAAGTGACTAATAGAACACAGGTGAGTCTGATCAAGTTACAAAGGATGGAAAGCTGCCAAACAACAAAGCAAAACAGCAAACGATCGTGACATCATGTATAACTGAGACTTATGTGCATGCATGCTTTGTTAAAACTTTTGCATATTGCCACTGATTAATTAGCTTCTTAATAAAATGTATTAGCTTGCTAAGCTGTAGACGCCTGATAAATTATCACTATATGGACAAAATGATCAGTGTATCAACCAATGAATTATTTGGGGTATATACACAGTGGCACCTCTTGACTATTTAAAGCGCATATCTGATTTTTTGTGTTGGTATTGCTCCAACAACAGCATAATTACTGTTGTTCCACGACCACCTAATCAACCACTAACCAATCACATTGTTGTGCTGTTTTATTTTTAGACATACTGTATATTTAGGGGCTCAGTCTGCATTAGGGAGTTCCAGCGGATAACCTACATGTGTGTTTTTAATGGGACATATGGCTTGTTTTGGGAAAACAATGGAGCTCGGTTGAGTTTTATGGGATTTTTCGACAAGCCTCATCCTGTGAATGCCATCGATTTGTGCGGTCAGGAGACGCTTATGTTGCAAAATATATTTCAAGGCTGCATGCCAGTTTGACAGTGCATGTCTTTGAAACTATACCACATTAGACATGAGTGTTTTCTTTCATCAACCATACAAGATAAATGGGGGTCAAACACAAAAGTAATCTTTTAGTCTCGTGAGATTTTCTCTCAGGCGAAGACCGGGAAATGTTTCCACTTCACATCACTTCTTTGTGTAAAATTTGTAACTGAGAGGATTTTCACTTATACTGAAAATCCCTGAAATTCCCTGTGATCGTTTGTAGGAATAAAAGTAGTCTTCAGCCTTACAAAGCACAAAGACCCACTTTACTTGTCTTTTCAGACAATAAAACAGCTCTTTAACACTTCTTTATGTGCAGCATAAATCTCACTTATTGGAAACATTACATGTAAGCAGATGATTGCATGTGGAAATTAACATTCAATCTGTCTTTTTTCCAGCCCGATGCCTGCAGGACAGAGTTTGATGCCGTATCTATGATCCGAGGAGAGCTGTTCTTCTTTAAGTCGGGCTACGTTTGGAGGATCAGGGACGGGCATCTGGAAAGCGGTTACCCGGCACTGGCGTCCCGTCACTGGCGGGGGATTCCCAACAACATCGATGCCGCCTTTGAAGACAAGTCAGGGAATATTTGGTTCTTTCAAGGTGAGCAGTAAAGACATTTGAGCTGCTCTTAAGTGGTTTATGGTTTTATGTAAGTGCAGTTCAGGGGAACGATAATTGTACAGAAACACAGAAGCATTCTGCCCATGTATGGGCATGTTTAAATAGATGTAAAAATGTTAATTAACATGGGTCTGTGGTGTTGCTGCAGGCGAGTGTACCAAACCACCATAGACTCCCAGAAACACTGTAAAAGCTGTTTTTAAGTGAAGTAATTATAGTGAAGTAATTATACGTATAGCTACGTATAGCTAAATAAAATAACTGTTGCTCTTATCTTGACAAACGTCAGCTGCTTGATCAGCGTCTGCTTTATGGACGGGCCAGTCAGAAAGTCTTCTGACATCCTTTTTTTAAAAACATTTAATGCCTACTAAAGTTAACTTAACCTGTCAGTGGAAGAAACAACAGGTCTGAAGTCATCATCAAGATGCGTTTAAGAAATCTCAAATGAGGTTGAAATAAGGTCAGGCTGTACTCTCGTGTAATACCACACTTGACCACAAGATGGCGAAGCATCTTAGTCCACTTGACACATAGCTCAGCAATACATTATACCAAAAAAAATGAACGTACATTAATTACAAGTCATCTTATTATATAAAAATACTAAATAATTTAAAAAGTAGATAGAAGAATGTAATCCTGGTTGGTGTGGGAAACATTAACACCTCAATTTATCCACCAATTTAAAAACACAATATAACTCGAAAGCTGTAAAACAAAATGATATTTAAATCAGGTATGGATTGTTTATGAAACTGTGAAGCATTTTCTAAGAGTGCCCTCCATGCATATGATTATGCACAGATGCCTGATTCATTGTGGAGACTGTAATGGTGGCACAGTCATCAGATTTATTGATTGTAAGGATGGCAATTCATATATATTTAGTAATTCCATTATCAATATCACTTACAGATTTGAATCCTTGTTGATTCTCAGTAGGTTCTCATTGGCCTTTATTTAATCATCAGAATTATTTAGATATGTTTTCTGTGTATAATAATTTATTTTAATGTAATTAAAGTGTGTCAGCTGTTGAAAATGAGGAAACGTGTAGCATTAAATTAAGGTGTGCAGTTACTGGGTTGACGGTCATTTGAATGACACGTATTAATGGGAGCCCACCGTCTGTGCAGGTGCAAACTACTGGGTGTTTGATGCTGAGAGGCGGATCAGGGGGCCGGAGTCCATCAGGAATTTGGGCCTGTACGAGTCTGGGATCCAGGCAGCACTGCGCTGGGGCCAGGACCCCAACTACAACACCTACTTCTTCAAGTCAGGCAGCTACTGGAGGTTCAGCCCCCAGGACAACCGAGTCGAGTCTGCGCCGCGCAGCATGCAGGACTGGATCGGCATCCCCAGCGTCGTGGACGCCGCTTTCCGAGACATCTACGGTACGTGCGCGTGTCTCTGAAATAAAACGACATTTGGAGCGCTACGTGTGATTGTTGAATTAAGACGCAGGAACGTTACCATGCTATAAATATGATAATAAACAGTTTAAAATACTTTACAAGCTTGGTAAGTTTTAAAAAATAACTCAGCGGTGGTTTTAACAGCTTTTCAGCTTTGCAAAAAACAATGATTTTCAGCATTAAGATAATCTGATTCAGAATCACGCCGCAGTGGGGTTTCCTGTTTAACACGAGCGCTATCAAACTAAAAACACAACTGCATGGAGAGAGTAAGAGAGGCTGTAAGTGTGACTGTACACACAACACAACAAATTTTATCTTCAACATGTCATTTATGAATGAGCCAGTTATCATTAAAGCTGCTGCATGTGTTCCTGTGGATGTTTTGCTCTGCACGCTGCTTGTTTTCCTTGTTCTGCTGCTTCAGGTTTTCACTTGCTTATCTGACATCTGGCCAAGAGCGAGCAGCTGTTGGGCCAACGCGGGCACATTCGCAGTGGCGCTGATAAAAAAAATGTTTTGTTTGTGCTCTCTGTGTTTCAGGCTACGCTCACTTCATCCGAGGACGGCAGTACTGGAAATTTGACCCCGTTAACATGAACTCTTTGGAGGGCTACCCTCGCTACGTCGGCGTGGATTTCTTCGGCTGCAGAAACGGGCGATTCTGAATCTGAGGATCCTTTTGTTTTTTTGCAATGGAGTCGTCTCTTTTTTTGTGTGTTTGGTTTTTTTGGAGCAAAGACATTTTTATCTTTGGAGAAAGATTCAAAGGAGATGAAAGCGTCTCCTTTGAATCTGTTTATCTTTCATTTATTGATACACAGATCAAGTACACCTTCTTCTCAGGAAAACCAAGTTGTATTCCCTCAGACTTGGCGCCTCCTGTGCAGCTATACTCATATTTATTTTGCACATTTTTGTCACAGTAAGGCTGAGTTCTGGGCCCTTGTCTAACGATGTGTGCTGTGAACTGCACACTCCTCACCTCCTTTCTCTGAGCCGAAAAGTGAGATTTTGGTCCGCAGACTGTCCTACTTAGTCTGCGTTTTCCATTCCAGCAGTTGTGTGTTTTCATCACGGACGGACTTCTGCTAACCCTATGAGGGTCTGAAGAGCGACATCAAACTTTGTACATGAGCTGCTGTAGGTGGCGATCAGAGCTTTGTTTGAACGATGTAACCCAGGAGCCACTCAGCAGGAATGTCAGCGAGCAACGATTTCAGCTATGCTTCCCTTTTTTACAGACGTGATTGCACATGTAGTTGATTTTCCTGCCAACCTGAGTCCCATTAACCATAATTCAAAATCACAAAATCTATAAAAAGATGGACAGCCCAACAGATAGTCCCATTCTGAAGCCTCGAGCTGAGCATTTCTCAAAAGAACGCAATGTTACACAATCTCACAGGCATGAACATTGATCGTCCTTTATGACTGCAGGGAAAGGTATCATTTATACCCCATGTTGTATTCTGTATGGCTTTAATTTGGCAAATGAGGCCATGAACTCATTAGGTTAAAATTATATTTGATCTAGCTTTATGTGCATCTCTTATGTACAGCCTACGATCAAAACACAACCAGATGTGAGAGACTTTTGGCAGTTATGGCAAATGTAGTGGGGGCCAGATGTGTCTCAGATAGGACACAGATTTGGTTTGGGCAACATCTGGCCAGATTCACCATCACTGCTGGCCCAAAGAACATCTGTGCCAAACATTCATTGGTGTTAGATACCAAAAATATAGTGCAGATAGCATTACCATATGTTTTATTCATGCATTATTCAGTGAGTCCTGATGTTTTCAGACACCTGAGTCATGATGATTCGTTTCCTTTGCACTTTATCTAATTTAAATTTTAAATTTTTATCCATACGAAAACCAGAAACTTCCAAGATTATCGCATTCTAAGTTTCTAATGTTTCAAGCACCTATTTTAATCCTTTTCCACACACCAATAGAACGTTTTTATAAAATTAGATACACAAAAATGACTGAAACAAAAAGCCAAAGAATGAAGAATCAAAAATTAAGACTGTAACCACTCGAGTTGCTTGCTTTGACAGATAGAAACCACATACCGATACACCTCCTACAGCTTTTTTCATGTCAGCCTTGCTAGAGGTGAAGCTAGCCACAACCAAAGGTAGCCATGATGTGACAGTTAGTTGGTCACTTTCAGCCAGTAATAGTTGCCATAAATAACGTGTATGTTCTTCCTTAAAGTTTGCTCAGAGGTCTTAAACTAACTCAGGTGTGAGTCACTGAATAAATATAAGAAACCCAGCCTCTCCTCTGGGTCAGAACATGTAACACCAGCAATCATCAGTGTCCGCTCCCCTGCTGTTTGAGACAAAGAGGTTTTGCCTTTTTATATTTGAACAAGAGTTTTTCAGATACTTTTCTTCCTGGCATTAGTAAATATTTTATATGTTTTATACAGTGCAGGGTCTTTAAAAAGGCAGAAGAAAAGCGAATGCCATTGCTGTACATCATGTTTTGATGTCACTCTTCCAGCATGATGGTGTAAAGTTCTCACTTTCTCAGCGTGCAGGCACCTGTTACAGGAAAAGCTGCAGGGCGCCATCTAGAGTGCAACACTGTCAACCACCTCAGAGACCGTGGTCACTCTTTGTGCCATCTTTGAAGTCATTGCGTCACCATCTGTAACATGGTGCTCTTTTCTATTTCATTACTAAGAGGTTTGAGAATAGCAGCGGCTGTGGAGATCAACCTGGTAATAAAACATTAAAAAAAAATAGGATTTAAAACTAAATTTGAGCTGAAAATGTTGTTGCAGCAATAAGAAAGTTACATTTCGTCTGCACCAGAGTCATTTTCAAATACTATATTGGTGCAGTCTGAAATATTAAATATGCAAAAGTGTTCGAGGATCAGCCTGAGGTCAGAATTTACAATATTTAACATAAAACTGTAAAGAAAATTCTTTCCATCAATGCCGGAAAGTAAAAGCAATTCAAGGACATGAAAAACTCTGGTTGCGACTCCTCTGTAGGTCAGCGCCCCCCAGGTTGAGAACCATTGCGCCATCATTTCCTCTGCTGCGTCCCGATGCGGCGCTTGAAGGCTCAGTGCAGGACACTGGCGAGTTTTAACAGCTCTCATTGTTGTTTGAATCATTTCTGCGACCCGTGAACTCTGCTTTCAAACATATTTATACACAAACAGCTTAGGAAAATGTTCCTGTATATACATGTCTTTAATATTGTTTTTAATCTTTTGTAGCCTTTACCCTGTTCATTGAAATGTATGACCTGCGTATTGTTTTCTGTTTTTTCTAAGTTACTGAAATAAATTCATAACCTTTTTATCCGTCTGGCTCTGGGAAGATTCAAGCTCAGAAACTGATGCAGACACTTTAAAAACGATAGTTTTAAAGTGTAGTATGTGAAGAAATTCACATGCTATCGCATTCTATAAGATATATTTCTGTAAAAGTAACAGTTACAGTTTTGATTACAAAGGTTAACCCGTAACTCAGCCTGACATCTTTGTGCTTGTGCAAGCCTTAAAAACTCCTCACAAGGATTTTAAATAATATTGCAGGAGTCTGTTTGAAGCGGCGGGCTAACGCGCCTTCTCCTCTACAAGTCAGGGATCTTACATCACTCCAGTGAAACTCCATCTGGGAAAGACCGACCAAAAGTACAACAAACATTAGAAATTATGCTGGCAGGGTAGGGGAAGCCAAACTCTAATACTGTGTGTTTGCCAGGAATAAAGCATGATGTGGATCGCAGACCTCTGTGTCCAGTGCAAGTTTGTTGCACAACACAGAATGGCATTAAATTGTTCACTTGAGCTTTCCCTGCTGGTCATGTATGCTTTTATATAAAGTTATTTAAAGTTAAAGACCAGAGCTCGACATTTCCAGGTAAAGTTATGGATTATGTAACACTTATTTAAGAATAAAAACAGATAAAAAGTTTTTATCTACAATATTAAAATATACTGTAGATAAAACCAGAAATATTACTGAATCTTATTATAATATTGCAGACCTGTTTAAACTCTTTAACTTTAGTTTTTTAATTGTAAAACTGGAAAAACGTGCTTTGTAGAAGTCTTTAGAGAGATATTAGTGTCACACTTTCGGTTTAGATAACAGTCCCACATTATTCTCTTGTTAATATCACAATAATATTACAGGAATTCGTATAGCTGTTAACATAAACTTTAACTAACAAAATAAATATTAGATAAAATCTTAATAACATCACGACTCAAAGCGATTGTGTAAAAAATTTTAAAATGCATTTTTGGTCTTCAAAGCGAAGACATTGCGCTAACGGTTTGCTGTGTTGTTGGGGTGGATGGTGTTAATTGATGAGTGGATGCGATTGTCAGGTGGTGGGAGGGGGCGTGGCCTGTGCTGTTCACTCAGGGAGTAAATCATGGCTGACAGTGAGGCAGGAGCAGCAGCAGCAGCAGGGATGGCTCACAGTTTCACTCAGGAGTATTTTCAGATCCCTGTGGTGACCCGAGCGTACACGACCGCCTGTGTCCTCACCACTGCTGCTGTGGTAAGAAACAAATCCTTCAACTTACAATCTGCCGATCAGAGGGGAGACCTGTCCTCAAACTGTGCACATTAGAGATGTTGCCTTTTGTTATTCTTGGACTCTTACAACATTTTAACTGTGAGATTGTGAGTCTTACTCAGGAGATCTAAGCACTTGCTACACTTTAAGTAAAAGTTATGGAAACACTTGAGTGGTAAAGTTAGGCACCTTTTAGCACACAAGTGTTGAATCTAGTTGTAGCCTCCTCATGTAGAAAGTGTCAGTGAGATCGTGGTTATATCTGAAGTACTTTATTATTTAATATGACATGAAGTGACAGCAAGTCCTGTGTAATAGAAAGTACCTGTAGTATCAGTTGATGTGTTACCACTGAACTTGGTAAATAATTTCAAAATGAAAGCAATAAAACTGTCATTTGAAAAGAAGTTTCACACAGAGGAAAGGGGAAAATATTCAAAGGAAAAAGTTAGTTACAGTGAGGTGTGTGTGACACTGGATACTAAGGAAGGAGAGAAGGACTTGTGCTGATTGGCCAGGCAGAGAGATCGAGCTGGAAAGGATGTGCAGCAGGTTAGGATGTGAGTGAAGAAAGGAGTGTGATGAGAAGATGGAGGGGGCACTCTGGGGAGCTGATGAATGAAATAAGTTGTAGAGGATTAGTAAGGAGTAAGTGAGGTGTATCCTCTGTCTAGAGGATACACCGAACACCTGCGTGGCACTTCTTTTCAAATGACAGTTTTATGGCTTTCATTTGGTCCAGATGACATACCTGTGCAGGTAAAGAGAGGGTGTCTAGGGGAAAAGGAAGTGGACTTTTTGACCAGAAATGTAGAAGAAGTTTACTGTTACTGATTTTCAAGAACAAAGGTGATCTGCAGAGCTGTAGTAACAAGAGGGATAAAGCTGATGAGCCACACCGTGAAGATTTGGGAAGGAGAGAGAAGCTAGGCTAAGGAGAGCGGTGACAATCAGCGAGTAGTAGTATGGCCACAGGCTGACAAAGAACATTACAGATGTAATGTTTGCATCAAGAGTTTATTGATCCCACAAAGGGAAAAAATTTTGCGTTACCTCAGCTCAGGTACAGATATAAGAGAAGTCTAACCAATGAAAAAATAAGTAAGACAATGCACTAGGTCATCAGAAGCAAGACAGAATACATGTGTGTGGATGAGAGGAAGACAGGTGTAACAGTGAAGCTGCAAGGAGTAGAGCTAGTGAAGGTAGATGAGTTTAAATACCTGGGGTCAACAGATGGTGCACAAAAGAGGTTAAGAAGAGAGTGGAGACAGGGTGGAGTGGGTGAAAACAAGTGTGAGGGGTGATTTGTGAAAGAAGGATAGCAGCAAGAGTGAAAGGGAAGGTTTACAAGATGATAGCGAGACCTGATTTGATACGATATATATGGTTTGGAGACAGTGGCACTGACCAAAAGACAGGTGGCAAAGCTGGACATGTGCAGAGCAGGGAGAGTGGATATGAAGATGAAGATGGAACTGCCAGGAAAACGGGGCCACTACAGTAATGAATGATCCGTGGGTTTCGTGAAGTGGGACATGTGAGGGTAAGCGTGACAGAAGCAGATGCTACGGCTAGGATAGGATGGAGGAAGATGATTGGTTGGGGCAACCCCTAAAAGGAGCAGCTGAAAGACCAGGTATAGAACAATAATCAACAGGTAAAAGAAGAGCAGCAAACATCTAAAAACTTTTCAACACACCTGCTGGTAAAATGCTGCCCCCTGGTGGTGGTGAAGGTTTTATTTAAATTCTGCAGAGGGTAATGACAACAAGGACTTTTTAAGTGAACTTCCAGTTAGTTATAGCGAAATATCATACAAGCTACCCAGAATTAATTAATTTTAGGCTGTATTTTACTTTTTAGCAACTTGAGTTCATCAGCCCATTTCAGCTCTACTTTAACCCAGAGCTCATCATCAGGAGATACCAGGTACCATTTACCAACTACTTAACTGAAACTTTGAGTTAATTATGTGTTATATCATCACTGTTACACTCCTCTTCCCTCTCTTTCTCAGATATGGCGCCTGATAACCAGCTTCCTGTTCTTCGGCTCTCTTGGATTTAGTTTCGTGTTCAACATCATCTTTCTGTATCTTTTTGCCAAACACTGAAAAAATAGGAAAGTTTACCGAATTGAAGCTCACATTATGGTGAAATCTGCAGAGCTGAGCAGACCTTAACTGAAAGTAAGCTATCGATACTGTCGGATGCTGGAGGAAGGCTGTTTTCGGGGCAGGACGGCGGACTTTGTTTT